GTGACAGGTAGATTTAGTAAACTTAGACTTACTGTAATAAGCGATATGTTATCAGCTCGCATTGTTCCCCAAGCTCGCAACGTATAACGCAAAAGCAATCGTGAATGATTCTGCAATCGGCCATCCTGAAAAAGTATTAATTCCCAATCCATCCGTACAATGCAAAAACAGAGAATCAGGCAATGCGATCAGGTAGAAAGGCAATATTCTTCACTTTTAAGATTATCTTAATATAATTCATACTCATCTTCTCTCCTAAAAAAGGGCAGGGTGCAAGGATATCGAATGCTTTTTCGTAATCGATTAAGCCGATTGTAGCATCCGGGCTGGCCCTGGAAGCCGAAGTGGCGAAGGCGCAATTGGATACAGAAAGCAAGAACGGTACGAGAAAAGAAGGTAAGAGTGAGATAAGACGTTTCGATCCAACAAGTTTTAGCCAAAAAACGAAGCCAGTTCCTCAACCACCATCATCTGCCTTAAGAGAATCTCCTGTAATTTATCTACAAGTTAGCCTACTACCGTTTTATCCTGTAAACAAACGAAATGATTACTTTGCTGGGTCCCAGTTTTTCATAAGTTCTCACGATCTGAACCAGTTGATTGTTTCTCATCACAGTGCTCACTCCATCTGAGCCAAGTATCAAACACAGCTGTTTGTCCGTCAGATCCACTACGTTAACATCCGGTTCAGGGCTTACAATGAATTGCTGCGTTTCTTTATTGTATGACCAAAAATCTCCTGCAAAATCAGGATTTTGGCAGAATAAATCACAAAAGTCACTGTTGCGTCATGACTTCCTTCTAGGTAGGGTGCGTATAATAGCGCGAAGCTGCTTATATAAGGGCGCTGTGTTGTATTGTGTTGTGATGAAGGCCCCGACGACCAACAAGAAGACGGGCCCTCCTAGCCCGAATCATCACCAAGGAATCGACGACCCAGCTAACGATCCGAAAAGACGCCGGAGCGGCGGGCCAGCAAACGTGACCTCCACGGCCCCAGCCCAACAATCCCATTAGATAAAAATCCCAATGTAGATTAACATCACACACAAAAACTGGTAATATGAATCTCGTAAAATAAAAAAAAAATCGCTCATTGGCAATATCTACCAATTGCATCTACAAAGACCAAAGTAGAAAGGGAAAAGACGGGGAAGACAGAATTACTGACAGGCTGGCCACGCTGACCAACGAATGATGCAGCTTCGGTAGAAAAGACATCAGCCGCTTCGATGCAGTGAAAATGCGCCAAAATAAAATACCATAAAATAACTGGCCAGCGCACCGACTGCCGGTGCGAAGATGCATTTTTTGCACAGTTCCCAGCAGGCCTCTCTCGTTAGTGGCACTATTTTTCCGACAGATGCTTCCAGCTGAAAGAATTGAGACCGCCAACTACGACTGTCAGAAAGCATCCCCTTTCTGGTTCCCGAGTTAGTAACTTACCTGCCACAGGCGTCCATTTCGACGGTAAGGTCCCGTATACGCGTACATGCATGCAGATTAAGTTCCCAAAGCTTCAACCTTGTAGCTCTTGTAGATCTCGGTACAGACATACATATACAGACAACCCCTCGACAATACGTGTTTTTGCATTGCATAAATGCATAATAAAAGTTTGTTAATGGAAGTTACCCAAGGAACGCGCAACAGCTAGGAAAGCAATGCTTTCCGTTTGCAGATTCTGATTGTCCGATCCAGCTGATGGCCGAAGAAGAGGCCTTGTCCAT